AGAATAGAATAGAATAGAATAGAATAGAATAGAATAGAATAGAATATACAGTGTGTACGCCCTACAGTAATGTTAGTAGTATTTACAAAGTACAGTTAAATACTGTAAAATACTTTATTTTAGTTGGAATTTATTTGCACTGGAAAGACTTTTTGTATGGAATTTGTATGGAAGTTAACGTTGACTGTAAAATATAGGAAAAAAGGTATATTCGCTGGATTTTATTTTCACTGAATCATTCCTTCAGCAAACTTGAAAATAGCGAAAATATTTATGTATATAAGTATTTTATAGTAATTGCTTTTCGTCATCAAATTTGAGTATTTGTTTCCCCTCAGTGATTACGTCATCGTTGGTGGGCATTACCCAGTGTGGTCCATTGCTGAACACGGCCCTAACAATCTGTTAGTTGCGAAACTCAAACCACTACTGGAGAAGTACAACGTGACAGCATACTTCTGTGGACACGACCACAACATGCAGGTAGTACAACACCACTAGTTTATAAGGCGGTTGTTGCCTCGGCCATGTTTGTTTGAATGTTCTATGAATATAGCATTTGAGCCATATGTTGCTATGCGTAACAGAGGACCCACATTGACAACCACTCCTTTAACAAAGAGGCCAATGTTAAGTATATTGATAAACTGAAGATGGTAGTTGTTTTTCCAGCATATTTATCAATAATGTACTATGCTAATATGCATAAATACATAACCATATTTCAGACCTCACACGCATGTACGAATGATAATTATTTAAACAAGACAGATACTATTTTGTACAAACAAAGAAATAGTGCATATAGCAACAGAAATAACTGGTAAAAAAATTGGGGAGCGTTTTTCCATCAAAAGCCGTATCTAGTTTTGCATTGATGTTGAATAATCATAAAGGGAATGACGTCTCGTGAAATGTGATATATAATCTTTTAATGTTGGTAGCAAAATTTCCACTTCTTGTATTGTGACAGTCAAATCGTAATACACATAATACTGGTATTACATTTTTGATAGGTAAACATTTTCATCAATACTAGCTATTAATATCCAATTATTTTTTATAGCATTTCAAGGAAGACAACTCTAGTGTTGAGTATTTTGTGATTGGTGCAGGTGACGTAGTGGACCCCTCAACTAAGCATAAAGATGATGTGCCACCTAGATCACTGAGATATCACTGGGCTGATGTACTTGGATTGGGTGCCTTCGCATACGTAGAAGCCACAAAAGATAGCTTGTCTGTGGCATATTACGAAGCACTGAATGGAAAGAACATCTATACTAGAGTCCTCACTTCACGACACAAATGACAAGCACCATAGTTGTCTACATTTACAGAGATCTTATTATGAGTAACGAACAATAATCTGTAAAATGTTTATGATTTATACACGTCAACATGTTGGAATGTTCAGCACACAGCTGGACGCACGACTTATCATGCTCTGCGAGTACACGAGTTACCTTCTATCAAGACCCAATAACAATTCAGATACTGTAGAACATGAAGACAATCGGATCAGATCTTTATGCCAGTTATACACTTAGTAATTACCATTTTCAAAGATTTTGACTTGTATATTTTGTGGTTCAGTTTATCTAACAATGTGATTAAAATATAGTTGCTTTGCCCTTTTTTGCGACAAAGCATGTATGTGACGCCAAAATTGTGTAGATGTCCCTTATAACATTAATGTCACAGCAGTACTTCACCACTAGAGGGCGGTTATTATAACTAGACACTATGTCTATGTTACAACATGTTATCTGTCTTCATATGAAAGAATCAAAAAGAAATTTGGTGAATTATAATTGAATAGTAAAAATAGACTGTGTGTGATATACTAGTGAGTTTGGTCATTAGTGCATGCGTGTGACATGTTTTATTCATTTCACAGTAATTGAAGATATTGTCATGATCTAATAGAGGTCCCCCAAGGTACATAATTTTATATAAAAATTATGAAACCAACTGGCAGAAGGCAGAGAAAAGTAAGGTTCCCTAAAATAACACTGAGGTGAAAAGAGAGGGAAAAAAAAAGTTATTGGGGTAGACATCCCCAAATATAATCACAAAGGGTTAACAGTTTTCAAGAAGAAGTCGTTTGAAAAAAAGAGTTAATGCAGATGACGATGAATGCAATCATCTGTACCAACTGCTCTGACTGTCGTCTTTGTTGAAATAAAATATACAAGACAACTTTACAAGGAAGCAATTTACTCACACATTTCAGTTGTATACACATTTCAGTATTTTGGCTTCAGAATACACTCGATGCAAACTAATGTCATGTATACAAAAATACATACTATTTGAGATTCAGATACTGAAATAATCTTGCTTTGATAGAAGTTTTGTTTCTTTGCAAAAAAGAATGACTTACTGGTGATCTTATTTCAAAGAATTTTTTTTTTCAAGCAAATTTCATTACTAGTAATACTAAAATTGAGATGAACATAAGTTTGGTATTTTGTTTTAAAAAAAAAATTATACAAAACTACATCATTGAGTCATGTGATCAAAATACTGTATGTCGCTTAATATTCATGAGACAAACGTTCACGAGTTAGTAGAAATCATCATGAAATTTTGTCGCATTGAAAATTTCATTCACAAATGACATCAAATCATGAAACATTCCTAAAATTAAACCGTTTACAGTGATAACATCACATCCGTTAAATGCAAAATTGAAATTTAGAAATTGTCAGTGGCGACAGAATACTTTTGAATTTAGCATAAACTGGTTGATAAGTGAAATTTCACACATGCATATGCAGATGAATCATTCAAATGGTTTTTGTCAAAATCCAAAATTTGTTACAAGTAAAACAAACTGAAAAATTATTTATTTCTAGCACACAGACAAACAGACAGAAAACAAAGTGCCAGATAAAACAAAACATGATAGGTCAGCATGTCCAAGAAATCATTGATAACACGTCGAGATTTTTGTTTCACCAAAATGGCCGTCAGTTGGCCAAATGTTTGACATCAACAAAAAATAACTTTGCATATTTCTCTCAGTACGTCTAATCTTTCTGCAAATCTTGAATAACATCTGTCCAGATAAATCTGACGAAACAATCTTGACAGAAAGTTGCAAAATATCATAATATTAACAAATAAAAGCAATATTATTTGGTTTTACAGCTAAGTGCCAATTTGTACTTCTGTAAATGCATCAAGTTCACACACAAATTTTTGACATAAAGATCTTTGTTAATAAAATATTAATAAAACTGTATGTTACTTATTGGATTATGTAAATTTTCTAATGAGCTGCATCAAACAAGTTCAATATACAAATTAGATAATCGATTTAGATTTTCACAAAAAAAGGAATCAGGTCTTCATAATTTCATTCAACCAATTCACTGTCACAATATATACAGAAAATGCTTATTCTATTTTGCAAAGTAGATCATTAATATGCATGATTTTTGACACTAGAATAACATCATAGAAGCAAATTATTAAAATTAAATAAATAAATAAATTACAAATCAAATCGATAATGAAATTGAGTACTTTCAGATGGGCAAATACACAAGCACAAAGCATCCCTAGGTTCAGCCAGATGAGCAAATTCACAAGTACAAGGCATCCCTAGGTTCAGCAAGATGGGCAAATTCACAAGTACAAAGCATCCTTAGGTACAGAAAAACAAACAAATACGCAAGCACAAAGCATCCCTAAGTTCAGCCAGATGAGCAAATTCACAAGTACAAGGCATCCCTAGGTTCAGCAAGATGGGCAAATTCACAAGTACAAAGCATCCTTAGGTACAGAAAAACAAACAAATACGCAAGCACAAAGCATCCCTAAGTTCAGCCAGATGAGCAAATTCACAAGTACAAGGCATCCCTAGGTTCAGCAAGATGGGCAAATTCACAAGTACAAAGCATCCTTAGGTACAGAAAAACAAACAAATACGCAAGCACAAAGCATCCCTAAGTTCAGCCAGATGAGCAAATTCACAAGTACAAGGCATCCCTAGGTTCAGCAAGATGGGCAAATTCACAAGTACAAAGCATCCTTAGGTACAGAAAAACAAACAAATACGCAATCACAAAGCATCCCTAAGTTCAGCCAGATGAGCAAATTCACAAGTACAAGGCATCCCTAGGTTCAGCAAGATGGGCAAATTCACAAGTACAAAGCATCCTTAGGTACAGAAAAACAAACAAATACGCAAGCACAAAGCATCCCTAAGTTCAGCCAGATGAGCAAATTCACAAGTACAAGGCATCCCTAGGTTCAGCAAGATGGG